GCGCACCGGCGCAACCATCGGTAATTGAGAGATTTACAACTGTAAATAGAGTGAAAGCGAGCTTTTGCGCTCTCTTTCTCCATTACTCTCTTTGCCTGCAATCAGATATCCAAGTGCACTGCGAGAATTGCACACTTTAGGCACCCATACATCATAAATGTTCTTCTAATTTAAACTTACACATTCAAACCGGTCTGCAAGTATGATACACATCCAAAGCGTACCAGACCACTGTTTCCGTGTTGCTCCCGTTTGATGCGTGACTGCTGAAAATTTCAATTACAACTAGTGGTGCAAACCGCCATGTATCGTGGAAAATTTGTAGTATGTTTCAAGAGGTGATAGAAGGTCTGCTTGGCTTACATCAGGCATTTGACCATTCACAAACTTGCCACCCGCCACCCAAAAAATATCGCTTTTAGGTGCACTATTTGACGAGTTTTGTCATGGTAGTAATATCGACTATAAAATAGTGTATTCATGGTCATGGTCTGGAGCAGGCTTCCAAAAAGTACAGCCTCCTCGCGACAGTTGGTTTATACCTGAATTGACTGTTGCTTTGTGTGCTTTACTACCGCTTGCTACCGTACGTTCAGATCTGAATTCGAAGTGTATTGGTAACAGCGCACACACGAACGAATGAAAGCTGTATTAGAACAGTCGCATCTATACCCGCTTTGCTAAAATCATCGTGCTTGGAACGTAGTGAACCGAATGGGCTGTATTTATGCATTTCTTTATGACCAGGTTCTCAATGTTTCTGTCGTCATAACAGCCTTCACAAACCGACGACATCCCTCAGCTTACCCAAGTGGCTGTCACAAAAAGGCTGTCACGAGACATTATATACAATTGATATACGGCAGTGGAGTATAGAAGAAACCCAGAAGAATGATCCCGAACAGATATGTCGGCCCGATGTCGGATCAATGTAAGGTCAATTTATGGTCGACATCGGCCAAATGTCGGGTCGATGTCGGGTCAATTCTGTGTTTATATCGGGTCAATGTCGGGCCAACATCGGGTTGGGGTTTGGTAGAAGTCAGGTTGGTGTCGGGTAGGCTTATATTTTTCGCCGGAGACCGTGCGTTTTAAAAAAAAATATCGGATGAAAATTTTGCAATGGGCAGCACGAACGTGATAGCAACCGAATGAGCTCCGGCGCCACACTGGTAGTGTAGTAGCAGTCTTACGACACACAAACAAAATTTCAAAGACAGCAGCAACGAATCGGCAGTTTGACGGACTGCTTGTTGTATGTACGAGGAAAGTTACGAATGACCATCCGAGGCTGTCATAGCCGAACGAACAAAATACATGACTAAGAACAAGCTGTCGTGAGCAGCACAAGACGGCAACGTTGCATGTCGTATAACAGCCTCACTGTGGGCTGTCGCTTATAGCTCAATCTCAAGGCTGTCGTAGGGAAAAGAAAGCGACAGCCGTTGGAATACTGTCATGAGGCGGTACTTTTGGTATGCCTGGTCTGGAGTAAAGAAGTACATACAGCTATAATGGGACCATCAAATCTATAAAAATCTGAACGCATTTTTTTATTAAATTATTTACACCTGTGTCACGCACAGGTTGCACATGTGGACGCGACGCCACTGGTTTCACTATAAAATATATTAGACAATATTCATATACATCTTACCCATCGCTAACCACGTCCGAAGCAGGGGAATGTCATGTACTAAGTATGTGAAATTACGATAGAAATCATTCCATATCGCAGTCATAGTTTTCAAGTGATAATCCAATGGATTCTATCAATCATCACATAGAATGAATAAATCTTCTGACATCCTGGAAAAAAAAACATACAATTACCATACAATAAAATACAATTACAAGGAAATCTATTGCCAACAATCGATCTTATTGTGCGTATATAGATGTACAATAGACAATAGATGTAATAGATGTACAATACGTCCCATATAGCAAGAGTTTTCAACATTAGAACAACACTACAATTAATGGTAAACGGCTCAAGTTTGTTCGGGAAAAAGTGATATTTCTTATGGTTAATATACATAACGACCCCCTTGTTTTATTGTGTATTCCCCCATTTACCATAGATTCTATTGTAGAAACAATACATTCTAATGTAATTTTATCGTTGTGGAGAATACGATTAAACTCTATTGTATGGTTACAGTACATTTAATTGTACCTCTACGGTTCTTTTTTTGCGGGATTGCTATGTTATAAGAAGGATCCAATAAACCATACATGTCGATTTGTTTCAGTGTACGAGAACAGACCAAATATTATTACCTACACGGAGAAAAAAATGCTACCCAAAATTTGAGTTATTTTTACTTAATTTTGAGTTGAGCCTCTCGCTTGCACTCGTTATTGTTGTCAAAAAAGAAATGAGTAAATTGAATATTCTCAAATTTACGTGAATTAAACTTAATTTGGGTAGAATATACTTAAGAGTGAGTAATTTTTTTGTTGGTGATCAATTGAAACTACTGTACAGGGTGTTTGGTTCTGGGTTTTACATATTTTCAGAATAGATAGAGCTCCTAAAGTTATGAAAAAATCCCCATGAAACATATGGTCATAGGTTGAGTTATTCAACATTCTATGTTTTCTTTTATTTCCAACTTTGGATAGCTATATATTTTTAATCTTAATGTGGTTTTCTGATTTCAACATACCAAATGAAAGATTAAATTGTTAGCTATCAATGCTCTTAAAAAAAGAACTCGATTAAAGTTAATTATCATACATTAAAATTGAAAAGTATGTTGAAAGTACCAAAAAACTGGTGAAATATATGGTAATGAAAATTTTCAACTTAAAAACACTAAAATGTACGAAATTACACCAGTTTTTTTTGTACTTTCAACATACTTTTCAATTTTAATGTATGATAATTAACTTTAATCGAGTTCTTTTCTTAAGAGCGTTGATAGCTAACACTTTAATCTTTCATTTGGTATGTTTAAATCAGAAATCAGTTAATTTAGTTGTTCTACAGAACATTCTCGAAGCAGTTCCCTAGATTTGTGCTTTTGGTAGTAACCTAGTAGGCTTTACGATTTCCTCATAATTATTGATTTAAAACAGTCATAACAACTTGCGCCCTCCCCTTGGCTAGTTTTTTAACCTGGACGTTGGTGGGCGGGCCTAATCTTATGCTTCATAGTGGAGCGTTGGAGACGGTTGGTTTAGGTCCGGCATCGTTGGCTCATGCCGTGACAGAATAGCGTCATGAGCATGCGATGAGGATTACTGAGCTTCCCCTCTCTGATGAACCATTGCATAAGAGAACCAAAGTTCTAGCCTGAAGTGATAGTATCACACTTGTTACTCCTTTATTTGAAAGCCGCGTTGTAGTACGCTTACGTATAGACACTGACGTTGGGTGCGATACTGGCGGGTTTTGCCGCAAATCACTCTTATTTTATTTATTTTTACGCAGATAGATTATTTTGGGTTTGCAAGGGAATACTAATGAAATATTTCAGAAAGTGCCCAACAGTGATCCTTCTACTTGCGTGACAAGCTTTCGTTGTTGTTTTCATTGAGATATTACTCAGGAAACAATGTTAAACACCATTTTTGTACATGGTATTGCAATTAATCTTATATGTGCTTCATTTTGATTTGGGATAAGTGTTTGAACTATGGCTCGGGATTTCCACTGTGGCGTGCTTCTATTGTGACATAACCATCCGTATTTTTGTGGTGCGACATAGTGGAAACGTGTGAAACGTTGAAGCATATACCCTGTGTAATTTAGAAATCGGCTAGGAAACTAACTTCAAAGTGAAGCATTTGAGTCACTTGAAGGTGTCACCAGGGACGAACATATATATATTAAATATAGGTCAAAGTCAAAAACAACTTGAAACACGTTAAATTTTGGATTACATTCACAAGTGCAGGTACTTAATAAAGCATGGTAGGTAGATTAGAGATTTCAATTATTTATTAAATTAGACTAGAGATATCATAATCATCAAACGAACTTAAATAAGAAAATTTAGACAGCCTAGTAGCATTAAGTGGATTAACAGAAGAGTTAGGATGCGGAGGGTCCGCTTAGGGAGGCAACTAGCCTTTAAAGCAACTGGCAACTAGCCTTTTCATGTATTGTCTGTTTGTTTTGATTATTGCTTTAAAATATCAATTTGGTATATATGTGAAAGGATGAATCAGTGGGAGATGGATTTTCGGTTTCTTTACATTTAGCATCACTATGTGTCATTTCCTCAAAACCCCCCAATAACCGGCCTCTTCAATCCCTTCCTTTTCCCATGGCGTTCAAGTGGTCCGCATAGACTATTCAGCCATTACCCGTCCTTTATCCCCGGCTTTGGATTGACTTGCGCTCCCATTGCCCCACCAAACGCTGCAAAATGAAAATGAAAATGAAATGAAAACAGTCATAAAAACTTGTAACGTTTTCTTAAAATGCGCTATGGTCACCCTATAAGTTCGTACGTTTGGTTGAAAACATGAAAATTTGGTAGAATGTTATTGTAAATGTTGAGCAAATATCCAACATCTGTTTTAATCAAAAAAAAAGAACTCCGTTGTCATTTCACCGATCGAGAAAATAATTAAAAAAAAAAACACTATATCCACTTGTTCACATTTTCCTTTCCTTTTTGAACCTGCCTATCCACCCAGTGGCATTACGCTCTAAACACATCTGTGTGGGTGCGGTGCGTACTGTTGCAGAGCCTCACTATCCAATTGCCGAAAGTGCCGAAATAAGTGACCACCATCGCACCACCACGAAGCAATGTGGCACGCGTCTTGGCATGCCATTGACAGCGCAACGGAGCGACTTAGCCATTAGTCATTCATGAGACGATCGGATTCACCGCACGCACCTCACACGTTGTCCTTGAGAAAGCTGCCTCTGCGAGCGATTGGCAAATAGTTTGTGTACCATGTACCTATTCTCGATTCGGTTGAAATGTATTTTTAACTTAAACTAACTTTTGCCTTTACTTTCTGTGTCCAATTTGCAGTTTCGAAGAATCAACCGAAAGCGCTCACCAGAGCTGGCGAAGTACGACCGTCGGACCGGCGGTTGTAGCGACGAGTACCTGTTCTACGGCGGCGGCGGCAGCGACTGTCAGTGTTGCCAGTAGCTGTAACAATAGTAATTGTAGTGCTTCAACGAACAGTAACAGCGGTGGGGCTTCTATAGTGAGTGGTAGTAGTGTGAATAGTGGTACAGGTACAAGTGGCAAGAAACGTGCGAAACGTGACCCGACGACCTCGGTGGTTAATGCTGGAGGTACCGCCAGCAGCAGTGCTAGCAGCGGTGATAGCAATAGCAAAATGGGTGTAGAAGCGGCTGCCGTTAATCATCAGCTTCATCATCACAACAACCATGGTCATTATTTCGGTGCTGGCAATGACTACGGATCGCTCAAAGGTGAGTCTTAGATCGGTTGTCTCAAACCAAGTAAAAGAGGATTTCAACATTTGCTGATTCAATCAAATTGGAAATTGGTCCATGGGTGATAAAGGCTCTGTTGAAAGAGTAATTTTAAATTTCAAAAACACATCAACTAATAATACCTACTTCGATAGCTGCGCAAAAATTATAGTCAATATAGCACGCACGGGTTGTAAAACATTGTTGCGCACCCATCTACCAACCGGTCACCAATTACATCATGTGGAGTGGATTCATCCACCGTACACCGGTGCTGCAGCGTTGCGGCAAAGCCGAGAGTAAAAGTGCAGCCTCTAGTTTTTAGTAACTACAACTAAGCTTAGCTTATAAATCTTACGTGTGGGTGCGCACGTTCACCCATCGACGGAATCATAGTCTGGTCATGCTAGACTAGAGACCAGGCGTGAAGCTCAACTGCATCAAGCATGAGATGGCTAGTGTGCGTTAGAGTCGTCCACTGCTTCTAACGGAGGCACTGTGTCACGATTAAATTGGTACCCTAATGCCGGCGGTTGGCATTCGAGCAATGACGTGCTGGGGCAGGGGCAGAGCTCACGAAGTTTGCTGATCTATTAGGATCGCTAAAAATAATAACATTTTGAGAAACCTGAAACTACTGGATCTTCGAAAGGGAGTCAAAAGAGTTCCATTATAGGGGATTCCAAATAATTCCCAAATCTTTTTTGATGAAGCTCGGACAGATTCGGCAGATGCTGGGACTGTTTTGTAAGGAAGTACTGGGGTACCGTAAACCGGGGTGTCTTTGATAATGCGGGTAACTTTGATAGTAGAAAATAATGATTAAATTTACTCTCTGTACTATTTCCGAACTGGAAACATTGTTTCCATTTTGTAGCCTGGGGTATTACCTTTTATTGAATCGAATAAAGTTTAATATATTTTCCAAATATTTGAAAAAAAAATTCTTGTTTTTCGCCTGAAACAATCACTTATTAAATGTATTTCCGATATAGCCCGTACAAATTCAATGCTTATGATGTTTTTGGTTATATAATCATTCGAAGTTTCTTATTTCTTGAACTAAATTGTTTGAGATTTACGCATGTTTTTCTACATTCATCGAGTATTATCAAAGTAACCCCAAAACAAAAAAAGTGATATAAGAGAGAGAGAGAGAGAGAGAGAGAGAGAGAGAGAGAGAGAGAGAGAGAGAGAGAGAGAGAGAGAGAGAGAGAGAGAGAGAGAGAGAGAGAGAGAGAGAGAGAGAGAGAGAGAGAGAGAAGGATTATTAATTTCCATTTAATTCCACTACCTTATTTGCTTGTCCTTGACAGATACGCGTATTTCGTGTACAATGTGCAGACTTCTTCAGTGGCTTGAACTAATACTCGACTTAGTACAAGACACTGAAGAAGTCTGCATATTGTAGACGAAATACGCGTATCTGTCAAGGATAAGCAAATAAGGTAGTGGAATTAAATGGAAACTTCTAATCCTTCTCTCTCGTTTTATACAGGTATTCCACTAAGACGCCCACATTCATCAGGAAAAAAGTTATGTTCGGGCACAGATCTAAAAAAATGTGCATCTAGAACACTAAGTTGAGAGCACGCAATAAGCTAATATGCAATAAGCAATAAGCTTGAAATGCGAAGAAGAAGAAGAAGTTACTCATGTATACGTTTCAAATTTAACCCATTATGCAGGGCTAATAGCGGGTCATCTTTTAGTGACTTTGTCACTTTTTTTAAGGTGGTTACTAAAAAGTCCCTATTTTCGACAAAAAGTCACTAAAGTCACTTTTTTCGCCATTCCCGCTTGAATTGCAACGTAAAATTCGTTAAAATATTGTTACAGTACTACAGTATGCTAAAATGCCGGAAATTCGATGTCACCGGGATAAACTCATGAACTTCGATGCCAAAATGTGCTTCTTCCTGTCTTTAAAAAATCTCAAGACCCTTGGAACATACTAGATTTTCAGGATACAGTTACTTTGTACAACTATTAAAAGAACTTTTTTTCCAAAGCAGTTTTGAACAGATTTTAGAATAGATTCTAGAGATAACTTCAGACAAAAAGTTCTAGGGATTTTTTGGGATTAACTATACGAGGGATATGACTAGAGCTCGAAGTCAATTGTGTGAGATCAGTGTTTTTTTTAGTAGCCCTGTGAACACTTTCTTGGGTACAACTTGGACTAGGAACAGAAAGCATTTCCAGATAATTTTAAGGAGAACTCCATGTGAATTTTCAGTAGATCTTAGAGGACAACTCCAAGACAACTCAGAGGCGAACTGCATGGAAATTTCTAAGGAGGTGAAATCTTAAAAAAAGTTTATAATTCAAAGAGAATTTAAGGACGAATTTCAGGATTTTCTTAGTGTTCTGCAGATAATTTCTGCACTGTTATTAATAAAATTCAAGGCACTTCCAGAGATAAACTCGAATTTATTTTTGAAGAACTCTATGAAAAGAAATTATTTTGAAAGAAATAAGGGATATGGATGTAATGTCGGCCTGAATGCCCCTAATTTGGGCCAATACATAAATTCAGCATTAAATACAGCAAGTTGGAATAAAAATTGTTACCCATAACCAGGGCTGGTAGCGAGTACCTTTTTAGTGACTTGGTCACTTTTTTCAAGCCAGTCACTAAAAAGTCTCCTTTTATAAGGCCAAGTCACTAAAGCTACTTTTTCTTGTAAACAGTCTCTATTTTAAACTTTTTTTAACGTGCATTTAGTTCAAGATTGATCATTCTGCTTGCAGTGTGTAGGAAAGGCCTACATTTTGTTCTAATTTTTGAAAAGTTTGAAGTTGACGACCTTGTATAGAGTTTTTTTTTACGTTTAATCGTCTTTCTCTATCTACAGGGTGTCCACTCATTTGGCTGAATATAGTTCCCTCAGTTTTCCTAGATTTTCCATAACTTTGGCGGATAATTTCCAGATATCTAATAAAAATGCTATTTATGAATTGCGTTAAAAATATGATTTTTTTTGTAAAACAACAACAATTAACGCAAACGTTTTTAAGACATGACAATCAGTTTTAAAGAAACAGCTTTACTTCATTTTAGTAAGTCTCAGATCACAACATTTTTAATTTCTTGAAGTTTCGTACTAGGAAAAGTTTTATTTATCTCAGAAAAACTAGATCTAGAGATCATGGGGAATTCCAGAGATCTTAAGCGTAAGTCCCCGAAATTTTAGCCCAAACTATTGGATTGGCTAAAAAATCTATAACCGTGAGTTTAGACAAATTCAGAATAATTCCATGATGTGCTGAAATAAAATCGAGAAACCTTAAGATGTTCCGATAGATTCAGTACAGAGACCTTCAGAAAATTTATGAAAACTTCAGAAATATTTCAGAAATTTCACAGAAATCCAGAGAATTCCATGGAAGTTTAAAGGTGTTCGAGAGGAGTTTCTTGGTATTCTGGGATGTTCCGAGAATTCTATGATTGATCTGAAAACTGGAGAAGATTCAGGGAATTATAAATATGTAAACATTTGATAAATTTAGAGAAATTAAGGTAAACATTGAAAACTTCAGGGCTAGACATTCCAGGGAAAATTAGTGATTTAAGGCAAAGCTCCGTGAGCGTTTATATACTTTATAAAACTTAAAGAAAATTGTAGAACTCAAAAGCATTTCAATCAATTCCAGTAAATTTTGGGTTTTTTCAACAAAATACTAAGATATTCAGGGCAGTCTAGAGAATTTTAAGAAAATTGAGGAATATTATGGCCAGTTTTCAAAGCATCAGGAAACTTTAGACTATTGAAGAAGCTATGAATTAGTTTCGAAAATTGACAAATCTTGAGAACTTCAATGAAAATCATAGAACTTTAGAGATGTTAAGAAAATTATTGAGGTTTTCACATAAGACCAGAAGTTCACGGAAGCTTAAATATTTTTAGAATTAAGTTCAATTAAATTCAGGATAGTGCACAAGCTTCATGAGAGCTGTAAACACTTTAGAGAAGTTTAGAGAACTTTATAAAAGACATTGATCTCGCTAAAATGCTAAAAAATAACTTCAAGAAAGAACAGACATCCTCAGAGCAGAGATATTCCAAAGCAGCAAAATTACATAATTTTAAAGAAATTTAGAGAATTTCTGTGAATTTATAAAACTTTCGAGAAGATTCATGATCATTAGGAAAATTGTGGAAACTTTAGGAAGTCCGAACAAGTTTAGAGATGTTAAAAACAATGGCTAGTTTCTCAAACTACAAAAGAACTTCAGGAATATTTTGAGAACTTTCAAGTTGTTCTGAAGGCCTCCATTACACATTCAACGGAGATTTCGCATTAAAATTCGCTTGGAGTTCGCATCATCATTCGCTCGTATTCTCCCGAAACTCTCATCGAATTATTTCAGAAATTCACTTGGAACGTTTGTCTGAATTCTCTAAAAAATATCATAGGAATATAGTTAGAATACTTCTCGAAACTATGCTTTTAATTTTTCTAGGAACTGCCTTCAAATTCACCTCAGTAAGAAATCCTATGAAAAGCTTCTCAGAATTTGTATTGAATTCTTTTCAGATTTCTTTTTTAATCTCACTCCTTACCTTGGAATTCTACTCCTACTTGATACTTGATACTTGAAAGCTGCCTAAGAATTAAATTTCATTTCTCCTTACAAATTCCTTAGATTTCTCTCCTTAATTTGTTTGGAAATCTCTCCTGGAATTATTTTTCGAATTTTTTTGAAGATCTCCTGGAGTTATTCTCAGATTTAATTGTAATTCTCCTTTTAGCATCTCCTTACCCCCTTAGTGTTCACCAAAAAATTACGAGGACTTATGCTCCGATTTCAAATGTGTGAATGAAAATAACTAGGAATATTGAATGTTTTTTTTTTAAATACATTCTTTTCTTTGGAAATTAAATTTCCTGAGTAATGAAAAGATTCCCTGAGACTTCCAGGTATTTTCAGGAGAAATAAAATTCCCGATTTTCAGGATATTCCAGGCAGTAGACACTTGGAAGTTGAATCA